GAAGACACCCTGCAGGATAAAGTGGAGCCACTGTCCTTGCGGGGGTCCCCAGACACACAGATGAGAGCCACAGCAGGGTGGGTGTTATGGGAGCTTGAGGTGTGGATGAATGGGGAAGAACAAATCTCTGGGAGGATGGGCTGGTAGGTGTGACCTGTGTTCAGCCAGGAAAGCATGTGAGGGTCAGGCACACCAAATGGAGGTGACAGCGTGAGCAAGACACAAAAGTGAGAAAGGCCAGCATGCCTGCAAGAAAACAACAGGCAGCTCATGCTTCTGGAACAAGAAGGGTGAAGCAGAGAATGAAGGAGAGGAGTCCAGAGGAACAGGTAGGGACTGGATTTGAATTGAAATTTGGATTTGGATTTTAGTTAATTTATGGAGAGGTTGCTCTGGCCAAGCACTGTGCTAGGCTCTGGGGATAGGGCTGAGATTTAGATGTTGTTCTTGCTTTCACTAAGCCCCACAGTCTGGGCATATGGCTTAGGGACCAGCGAGAGATAGGCATCAATCGAGTGATTATATAAGTAACCTCCCGATCCTTGCTGAATGACAGGTGTTCAAGCAGAAGGAACGTCCTGAGGCCCAGGGCTGCATGCCAAGGGGTGAAGGAAGTGCCAGTTGGCTCCAGTGGGGTGAGCACAGGCAGGAAGGGGCACCTGAGGGAAGCTGGGGCTTGGCAGGGGTCTAGGGTCATGGCTGCCTCAAGAGAGTGGACTCTATATTGCAGGCTACAGGGAACCACGGAAGGGTTTTGTTTTGTTTTGTTTTTAAGATTTTATTTATTTATTTGACAGAGAGAGAAAGAGCACAAGCAGGGGAAGCAGCAGACAGAGGGAGAGGGAGAAGCAGGCTCCCCACTGAAGAGAGAGCCTGATGCAGGTCTCTATCCCAGGACCCTGGGATCATGACCTGAGCCAAAGGCAGCCGCTTAAACAACTGAGCCACCCAGGCGCCCCAACGGAAGGGTTTTGAGGAGAGGGGCACGGGTAGCTTTGCAGGAGAGCTGGCTGTAGGGGGAGAGATGGGGTCGGTGGGAGGCAATGAGGCAGAGGAGGCAAGCTGCAGTGGTGTGAGAGTGCGGAGTGGGCTAAGGCAGGGCCATGAGGATGGAAGAGAGAGGGAAGTGTGTGAAATGCTTTGTTAGGAAAGGAGAATCAGGTGCTGTTGATACCACCTGGGCTGCTTTGCGGGACCCATCAGGGCCTGGCAGGATCCCCCCAAGCCTTGGCCCGATTTGGTCAAGTGCAAAGCATTGCTTGTCTGAGGGAGGCAGGGCAATGGGCTCCAAGTCAGAGACCACCTAGCTCTGGGACTTCCCAGGGCTGGGCTGAGGGAACTCAGCCCTGGGGAAACTTGGGGTGAGGAGGAAGCTGGGGAGGGGGCTGAGCCAGCATCTCATGACTCACCCATTTCCACCCAGTCAGCCCAGTGGCATCTCCGCTCCCCTGCTCCAAATTCCAATTTGGTGAGGCTGCTGGAGGCTGAGTCAGCTCCGGCACGGCACGAGAGCGGCGTCCCAAGGGGCTCCTTGCCAGAAACCCTGGCCTCCAATCAAGGCCAGGGCCAGGCACAGGGTTGGGGGATGTTGGAGCCAGACTCCCAGATTACAGTAGCCTCAGTTGAGTGGTGCTGCCCACATCATGTGAGTGAATGTGCCTTGTGGGTTGTGAAGAACTCATGGTGGGTGAGGCCCTGGGTAACAGTCTGAGGAGGAGGCAGGGGCCACGGTGTTAAGTCCTACTCTGCCCAACTCACTGCATGACCCTGAGAGAACTCCTTTTCCCTCTTGGCTTCTATTTCCTTGAACACACAATGGGACCAACATCTCCAAAGCAGGTTGTGAGACTTAAATAAGACATATGGAAGTGCTATGCAAACTGTCCAGTGGCCCAGGACAGTCAGGGCGGGAGAAGTGAGTCTAAACGAGAGCGCTTCCAGAGTTCCTTATGGTTGTGCAGGTTGTTTACTGCGTAAGGATGTCCAACCCAGGCGGCTGAAGTCTAGCCCATCCTCTGCTCACCAGACCATATTCCCTAACCTAGAAATGCCAGGAGCAAGAGGGTACCCTTCTCTAACTGACACAAATACACCCCGTGCTCAGACTTTGCTGGGTCAAGCCCCTAGATTTATGGGAAACCACTGAGAAACTGATTCTGATTCTTGGGATGGAGGGGAAGCAGGACTGGCTTTGCAGAGGCTCTCAGAGAGGTTCCCAGCCTTGGCAATGAGGTGAATCTTATTACTGGGGGCAGTTAGGGGTACCCACTTAGGGCAGAGAAGCAGTCTCTCCTGGCCCTGCCTCTCCCCAGCAACCAAAGCAGGTAACCAGTATTTTAAAAAACACTCAGGACACACACCCAAACTGGGTTTTATTGAAATGCCAGGAGCAGGCACATGTCAAGGTAGTAAAGGAAGGAAGGAAGGTGGTGCAGGCTGTATGAGGTGGCAGGGAGGGGCAGGCCCCATGTCCATGGCCCTGGCACCCCTTCTCTCTGCCAAGGGCTGAGTGGGTACAATCACCCCCTCCCCCCCAACAAAATAGCATGCTTAGGCCTGCAGGGCCTTTGCCCCTTGGACTGAAGGCTCCAAGAGGGACTGGAAGCACTAATTTTTCTCTCTTGCGAGGGAGGAGAAGGAAAGGATTCAGGAGGAGAAGGAGGTACAGCTGGGGATGAGGGTGGCCAAGGAAGGCTCTCCTCCTGGGAATCTGCACCCAGCCTGTGGTCCTGGATGACAGAGGGGAGCAGCAGTGAAAAGAGAGGCTGAGGGTCCGGCCCTCAGGGAGCCAGAGCCTCCAGCTGGTGGGGACTTGAGTCAGCCCTGAACGGAGGGCAAGAGTTCAAAGGGATCGAAGATGCAGGCAGTTCCCGATTGGCGTAGTCCTCAGAGCTAGGGGGCTCAAACTCCTTGGGACAAAGAGGAGGAAGATGGGAGGATCCAACCCTAGCAGGGAGTGGGGGGAAAGGGGCAACAGGTGGTCTCCCCCCCTTGGCCACACTAGGTTAGTTCCACATTGTTGGCGCGGTCCAGCACACGGGAGCCGCGGGTACTGCCCCCCAGCTGAAAACGACTCTCATAGAGAGTGGGGCAGAGGTGCCAGCGGTTGGCCCGGTAGATGCCCAGGTAGGTGTAGACGTCAGGCTTGTAGGTGAGCAGGCACTTAATGCCTGCCGCACGGATGGCAGCATCTGCCTCCAGTACACCCAAGCGGTCCGTAAAGTCATCCGTGTAAACACAGATGACCTGGCGCCCACCCTCCCTGGCCCGTGGGCTCACCTTGGCCACCTGAAGCCGGCCCTCGACCACAGCCCGAGCAATGCCAGCCCAGGCGTGGTCCAGCTTGAAGCCAGGTGCCAGGTGTATCAGCCACTTGCCAGAGAGCACATGATGGGTGATGGCCAGCTGGCGCAGGGTACTCGGTGTGATGGGCCGCCCGCTGGTCTGCAGAGCTTCCCAGGCTGCCTGCAGGCCCTGCACATCACCCGAGTTGGGGACATAGCCCTGCCCATATGCTGCAATCCAGCCCACAGGCTCAGAGTTGGGCGAGCCAGGGTCCCCATAGCGAGTAACTTGGGATGGTGGGTACTTGGCCAACCAGGCATCCAGCTCGGCAGCAGGTGTGGTTCGGGCATCAAACACCAGCCAGGGGTCCATGTCGGCTGCCATGGCCTCTGCGGCCAGGTGCTCAGCAGTGAAGCCATCCTCACGGCCGCCTGGAGAGTCTTCCTCCTCCATCTCTTCACCTGGCTCCATCCTGCTGTGAAGGAACGGCGTTAGGGCAGGCCCAGGACACATCTACAGTTTGCTGGGCCGTACCAGGTGCAGCCAATGGGCTAAACTCGGTGGCCTTGGGCAGGACTTAACGTCCATGCCTCAGCTGCATCTTTACAGAGGGCAACTGTTCCTGTCCCCTAAAGCTGTTGAGCATTAAACGCCTGAGGTGGAATAAGCGCTGCATAAAGGTTGTTGATGATCTTATTACCACTCTCCCCGATTTACAGACCAGAAAACTGAAGCTCAGAGAGAAGTGACTTACCCAAGGTCACACCTGCAACGAGTGACAAGGCCGAAATGTGAATTCAGGTGTGGGAGCAAGCAGCCCCGCTACACCTCCTGGCCCTGACAATAACTGGCAAGGATCCCGAGCGCTGGGATTTAACGAAGGGAGGCAAAGAAGCGCACGTTCGCGCAGCATCGAGGCAGGCCCAGTAGCGCCAGACCTTCGAGGATGGCGCTGTCGGGCCCACTTGAAGACGAGCACATTGATGCCCAGAAAGGGCAGTGACCAGTCCAAGGCCAACGGGGCGGTGGCCGGCCTGGAACCCAGGCTTGGTAGAGCCTACGAGAGCGCCAACCTCGGGCCAGCCGC